TGCAGTCTCACTGATGACTGACTCCAAACTTAAAAACTAAACTTTTATACTTTTATGAATGACATGAGCACTCAATTAAAAATGCTCCTCCAAAGCAAACTGTCCCTGCCAGTAAACTTGATATTATTGCCCCCTAGTGGCTTTTCTTAGATATATTTATTAATTTATTATTGCATTCTCTACTATCAAACTCAGGTCCTGGAGATCCACTATCTCTGCAATCAAAAGACGAGAGACTTCCCTGACCTTTAGCCAAAAAGCACAAAAAACACATTTGGAGAAAATAATCCTCCCTTTGGTCTCACACATACAACACTAAATATTCTTTAAACAGATCTGTTTCACTTGGTTTAAAACATATTTATACAGATGTATATCCATGCTGTGGATGTGCCAAACTCTGGTTCTTGAAGGCCGCTTTCCGGCATGTTATCTTGTTTCCCTGTTCAAACACACCTGATCTGCATGAATGGATGATTAACAGGCTTCTACAAAAGTTGAAGCGTTAATTRTATCACTGATTCAGGTGCGTTGGAGCAGAGAAACTAGGAAAACATGCAAGTTAATGAACTATCTGGTCACCAAGCTTCACGTTAAGTGTTCCTAGTTGCACTAGTACAGAAATTCACAAATTTATATCAATTTTTTGAGTTAAAACGTTTTATTGTCACCACTATTGTGACAACAACTACTGTTAATTTGTATAATTAATAATTTGTATTTTTGAGGATTTTCCTACCAAACATGAAAAAGTATACTATAAAATTCAATATTCACAACAAACAAAACCAACTTAGTGTATTTTGATAGCAAAAATATATTAATTATATGAGACTGAAGACCTTTGGAGCTGTGATGCAGTGATGTTTCTCACAATATTAAATATTGTTAATTAAAGCAGATGCATTAGGAGCTCAAAAGATTATTATAATCTTTGATTAGTTTCATGCTGAAACCAACCGTGTTCTTTTTGTTTATGTATCTACRTGATTGGAAAAGATCAAAGAAACAACTTACGTTGGCTCATTTAATTGTCACTGTCAGCGGGTGCGTGCCCACATGGTTGTGTGTTCATGAGCCTTGTGGTTCAGTACGGTTTTTGCATCATGTCTTTGTTCCTCAGGGAAACACTTTATGGAGTTCAGATTGTTTGGGGATTTGGAGACCATCAGTAAAACTGGAGAAAGGCAAACAGGATGTTTCTCTCATGTCTGCACACATCTGTTAAAGGTTAAGATGTGTTCAAAATATATATTAGGGAAAACAGAAACTAAAAATTACAAGGAATCAACAGTCAAAAAGACAAAACTTGTATATTTAACATTTATTATGAAGGGAGAAAGGGAATGAGGCAGTTGCTGGGAAAAGGTCATTCAGCTGCTATAACAGGATCTCATACAAAATTAGATGTAGAAAACCAGCTGTGGTTACTGATCACTTGTAATACAAAGAATTATAAACTGTAAGCAGGCATGCTGATAACAAAATAACATTATTTACTTTCAAAGTCAAAGAATTCATAAAGAAGACACTAATTGAGAGTCAAAAATACCAGGAACAAGTTTTATTACAAAGTCATGTTTACAAGCTTTGTCATCGTGCAGAAGACAGGGCTGAACATATTTTTGCATCATCATACCACTACTATCTGGAAATGGTCAAGCGGTAAACCACAAAATCCACTCTATACAACTTATAGGCTGCTCAAAAGCCCCTTGAGCAAACAGGACTTCCAAACATTGAGTGAAAACCAAATTTGTTTTCAAGAAAACATTGGGGATTGGCAGAGCTGTAGTAACTACAGAAGGATAAAGTTGATGAGCCATGGTTAAGAAGTGAGGTGACGGTCAATGAGCAGAAGTATGGTTTCATGTCATGAAAGAGGACTGCAGATTAGATGTTCTGAGAGTGTTGATGGAGAAATCTGGAAAAAAATCTGAAAAATTTGCATTGTGTTTATGGATCTACAGAAAGCATGCCCAATATGGGTCAAGTTTTCACGTGGTTTATAACAGGAGATGAGACGAATGACTCTTTTAAGGGACCTGGATCTCGATGGTTGTAAGATCTGCCTGATTAAAAAAGCCCCTTATTTTATGCTTTGCTCTATACAAAAGATCTGGATTCTCAGCCATTGAAAAGTGATTTCTTGCTGGAGGCAATAGACTCTGTTAAAGTTTAAAACATCCATCCATCCATTTTCTATACCCGTTTCTTCCTTTCAGGGTCACGGGGGTCACTGGTAGGGCTGTGTATTGGCAAGAATTTGGCGATACGATACATATCATGACAGAGGGGTCACGATACGATATATCCAGATATATTGCGATACTATAAGCAAGGCGATATATTGCGATTTTTTTGTCCAAAAATTCTATTATTAAAAACCTCTTACTGGGGAAAAATAAAGGAAAAACCAAAATTCACTGTCTCAGAAAATTCTAATGTTACAGAGACATACTTTTGATACATTTAGCTGTGTTCTGCTTTGT